GCCATGTTCACGCATCAAAATTCAAAAGCTGTAAGCTATTCGAAAAACACTTACAGGACTTTCTTTCCAGCCTCTAGATAACTAAAGGCATTTGACTTGAAATATGGCTTGAAAAGTTTGATAAAAATTCCTAGCAACTAGTGGTTGCCAGTTGGAATGTTCAGTTCCCTGCAAACTCATGCAGGTCAGCATGTGCAGTATGCGGACATGAACGAAGCGCGATGTTCTTCTGGGATCACAACGAAGAGGGTCGTATTTGGTCACTATGAGGAGCGTATTTCGACCGAAAAATATTTCTTGCTTTTGACTTTTCTCGCTCTCTTGCCTGTTTCCAGTGTGTTAAAGGCGCTGTATTAGCTCCCCCTCCTCACACAGCCGCGGACGGTATGTGTTCGCGGGTAAGAAGTGGCAGGGATTCTAGATCGGGAGAATGAGGAACGCTAATGGGCTGCAGAAAATTTGAATATTCAGGAAGATCGATGATAAATAAATGGTGTCGTGTTTTGCAAAAATTTTCCTCAACGGCACGAAGTGCCCTGACCACGAATGTAATAATTGCAAAGGGATTGTCTAGACAAATAGGGTGTTTGTCAAGACTCGAATTCCCTCATGACCATTTACTCATAAACAGTTCTGCTTTGGGTACGGGTTTGTCGACAGCTCACTGAACAGTACAAGCTTTAGGGAAATCCTTCTGAGCGACCATTTTCTGATCTCTAGTTCTTGGATAGTTTCATGGCATTCTTCAATGATAACCTTTTTTCTCGACTCGGAAGACACCATACCACTCCTTCGAAATCCCACCAAAAGCATCCTCTTCTCACCAAGGTTCAATTCCTTGGGGGAACTTAAGTCTAATATATTACAGTAAAGTTATGGTAGCATATTAATTTATTCTACAAAACATTTGCCGTTGAACCATACGTTAGTGTTATTAATCTAATTATATAACCGGTCAACATCAAGGAGGTAGTTTGGTTTCCGTTTTGCACGTGCCCTTAGACGAAAACAACGAGCTTCATATCCTTCTTCTGTGCTCGTCAGTCATTCGTGATGAGCCAGTCTCAAAGTTTCTTCTTCGATACCTACAAGTCAAGGTGGACCCATGTATCAAAGAGTTCGATGGAGCAGTTCTTTGTATCCCTTGTATCTCGAAATTGCTCCAACACGCTGGAACCTAACGATTTATTGGTGAAGGTGGAATCGTGCAGCGTTTCCCAAAATAAGGAGACGGCTGGTTTTCGGGATGTCCGGTAGCAAGGGAACGATACTACTGCTACTGTGTATCGATTCCCCTGTTATGGCTTCGTCTATCCAAATCGTTTGTTCTCCTTTTGCCACCTGATCTTGTTGACGCCCTCGTCGTTCGTATTTGGGCCTAGGTGTTAATCTTTGGAGCCGTGCAAGCCAACATTCGATGTCGAGACCCTTCTCTTCCAACCACTTTAAAAGAATATTCAAAATCAAAACTTCAAAATATTCCATTATACATCAAGTTCTAAAATTATTCTCTGTTTGTCGACACGTACCCTCTGCTGTCAATCGTCGATTTTCCTGCTTCAACTGAAACAACGGCTGGAACGTGCGGTGGTCGAGGAGTGTTCCCCTACCTTAAAGCTTTCGGACGTCTTTGTTACCCTGAAAGGATTGACCTAACAGTATGGTAGCGAGGAGACGACGAAACACTGGGCGCAGCTGATAGAGCGCGACTAAACAGCTGGCGCGGGAACCAGCGTAGAACTTCAAAAACGTCACAAATAATGAACGAGCGGAAGTTATCCCTGCACTTCGTCATGCAGCCATTGTTTGTGTGGTGTTCCCCAATAAAGGAAGAACAGTCAAAAGTCGAGCATAGCAACAAGCCCAGCTACTACTCTTACCCATGAATTAGGTTGTGCGGAAAGTTCTCAGCGTTTTGAGTGTTTCACTTCAAACGATCATAACTTTCCTAATACTCATCGGTTTCAATCGAAATAGGCACCGTTCGAATCAGCCACACTTTTGCCAAATTGCTGAAAACCATTCGATGAATCCCACCAAAGAAAAAACTGGGTGGTAGAGAATCCACGAAGTCCATGTAGGCCTTTTTTGCCTGGTCCTGATTGATGAAGTATTTTCCAGCAAGGAAGTTCTGAAAATGTCTGAAAAGGTGATAGTCGGTTGGTGAAAGGTCTGGAGAATATGGCGGTGAGGTAGAACTTCAACCCCCAATTCGTTCAATTTATGGATAGTGATTTGTGAAACATGTGGGCGGGCGTTGTCATGCAAAAGAATCGGACCCTTTCTTTTGATAAGTGTTGGCTGCATCTGACAAAATTTTCGGTACAATTCGTCGATTTCTTCACAGTAGGGTTCTGCTGTGATGGTTTGGCTTTGGTGATAAAAGTTAATAGTGAGATCACACCAGCCCGATGGACCACCAAACCATGACCTATGACCTTTTTTTCGGTAAAGAGTTCGGCTTTGAAAATTACCTCGGTGGTTCGTCCAAATCCAACCACTGTCCGGAACGTCTCCTATTATCATACATGATCCATTTTTCATCACAGGTGACAATCGCGTCCGAAAGGTCGTTTCCAATTGCGCAAAAGCAGTGAAGAAGAAACCTCGAGACGTGCCAATTTCTGCCGGTCACTCAAATTGTGGGGCACCCACTTGTCGAGTTTTTTCACCTTCCCAATGCGTTTCAGACCATCCGCAACAGTGGATTTGCCAACGCCTAGCTTTTCTGCAATCTCTCGAACTGTTTGGGATGGGTCAGCCTCCACAAACGCCTTCAAATCCTCGTCAGGTATTGCTTTAGGTCGACCGCTACAAGGTTCAACTTCAAGGCTGAAATCTCCAGAACGAAATTTGTCGAACCATTGTCGCACGGTGCTTTCTCCAACACTATTGGGCCCCCACACCTGGTTAATTTGTCGAGCTGTCTCGACTGCGGATTGACCCAACTTGTAGTTGAAGAAAAATACGTCCGAAGTTGCTCTTTTGACATGCTTCAAACAGTCCTTGGGAAGGCGTTCATCAAGTAATGGCTGGAAACGGTGCAATTTATACCATCAGATAAGCGTTAAAACTTCTCCTCAGGCACTGTACTGCTGAGACGCGCGAGGGAGAAGGGATGTAGCCGTTTTAGGACTCCACGAGAGGTCACGGCCTGCCCAGTCTCGCCTCGCCCCGTGCGCGGCCCGTTGGCAGCCTGCATTGTATACTTGACCAATATGGTCGTGCGATTGAGATCCCGGTCCCTTCACATAGTTCTGGCATCACGCAAATCTGCTTGGGATTTTTCCAAACCAGAATTTTTAATGGGACGACAGTATTTTTGAATGGCAGCTGTGTTATTCGACGGATTGCTGTATTTCTCCTTCACACCGACACTACCTTTTTACCATCTGGCCGTAAATCTTAAACCTTTCAATACCTTACAATTAAGGTGAAAAGAAGGATTCACCCTGAAAAGAATTTTTGTAGATTGCTGATGTATTCTCTAAATATTATTTCTATGTAAATGGGCGTTGTTTTGGACTAATAGTTGAACATCGGGCCTACTCCTTTCATATAGTTTCCACACCCTGCCAAGTAATAATAGCAGCACTGTTGGAACGATCTCGATGCCGACTATGCAAATGAAAAAAATACATAGCGAAAGCATCGCGGGGCCCACCTCTCGTCCGCCGCGGCGGCGCAGGCTGACCTCTCGTGGAGTCCTAACCGTTTCCCGCGAGGGAGAACTGAGTTTTTAGCTCAGCAATAATGCCTAAAAAAATGAGTTCACACAAAGCGCTGAGACCCTTTCCGGACAACCTATAAGTAATAGAAGGAATGGCGGCCACTCCAGCGATATGCTGTCCGACACGAGCGATGTGTCAAGTACAGGTCATTCCACGGCGCCCTGATGTCTTGTGCGGCGTCAGTGACAAGGGAGATCGCGCCCTCGCGACAATGTTCCGCGTTCACGTCTTTGCGCAGCTACACCAGCGTCTTCAAGCGAACACTAGCGTTTCGAGCGTCCAGCAGCCTTAGCGACTGGGAAAGTATAGACATCAGTCTAGCGACCAATAGCTTCTATCACCGTCCACCAACGACCCGTTTGGCGTTGACCGGCAACCAGCAGCGTCTCGAGGGCTAGGGAGAGTAGGTATTGATCTAGCGACCAGCAGCGTCCAGTAGTGGAGTGCATGGGGTGACAGGAGGGTGCAAGAGAACGGGTAGAGAGGCGATAGGAAGGCGCCAGCTATCTGCTACCCTCCGATCGCCCCACCCACTTCTGGTCGCTGGTGGACGCTACTGGACGCTGCTGATAGAGGTCGACGCTGCCGCGAAGTATGAACGTAGCATTGCGCGGCGACGGCTGCGCATCACCATGCCGACTCTTCTCTCTTATACTTGCGCGTCAACCTCTCTTTCGCTGGACCAGCGTCGCAGTCGCTGACACGCCCCTCGTTGCCATTAGATATGAAACGTAAGACTCAATGTGGACGGTTCTATGCCGTGCACAACACAACAATGACAACATTCATTTATTAGTGTTCGTTCGCATCCCTGTGTTCGCCAATTTATTATATATGCAATATCTGGCGTTTGTCTACAGAAAACAAGCACATATCATATAATTTGGAAGCACTATAACAATAGAGAACACGATGGATGACGGGTCGAGCTTTTCGGTCTATACGATGACAATCAATCGATCGATGGTAATCGATAACGGTCGATTGAGTGTGGTTGATGGGGTACGCGCTTGCAACGAATGATTGCGTTCGGTGAGATCGATCAACAAGGGAGGAGATCAATAATTCGAGAGATATGAATACAGTATGGTGTTTTGAAATGCAACATATAATAAATACAACAATGTAAGAGTGCTTCTGATGACTACGGATCACGAGAGGAGCGTCCGGTGGGTGGGTGGGTGGGTGAGTGGGCGGGGCTGTCGGTGAACGAGACGAGGCTGCCGGTGTTGTGCGAGTGATGATGGGCGGTGCTCCACATGATGCAGATTAGCCGAAGAAACCGCCTGAGATTGGCATCGGTGATCGAATAAATCGATCAGATCGTTTTCCGTATAGTCCGCCTGAGAACGGCATTGCAACCCGCTTACCGTAGAGACCTGAAATGTGAACGTTTATCGATCGGTCGCATTTTGTTTCAGAAAGCGTTTCCGCTTTATTATGAACAACATTTTGGGGTACCTACTGCTCTGCTGACTTTCGCTTTTCGCCCTTTCATCTGGCTTTTATTTCGCGCTATTCTGTGAGGCATTGTGTAACCGAAGAAGCCTAAATGTTTGCATATGGCTTAGTAACCACATTTCTTAGTGGAGTAAGTGGTGTAGTGGCATATGGCGCTGCTCACCGCTCGTGCCTGAATGAGGCGCTGAATTAAATAGGACCAGGTTGTACACAATACGCTCCCAAAACGTTCAATCCCGCATGTGGATAGAAGTGGCGGAGAGGGATGGGGTGGGGAAAATCGAGGAGACCAATCGGGAGGTCTTTTAATACGGTATGATGTTCGAAGCTTGTGCTCTGGGGAAAGGCAGGGAAGAGCAGGCGATATCGAGCGACACTATGCGACATTAAGCGACAATAGGCGGTGAGCAGCGATTTCAAGCGTTTCAGTAAAGGGCATGTGGCACTTTGCAAAAGGAAGCGACCATAGGCGATGAGCTGCGGTTGAAAGCGTCTAAGATCGTAAGCGAAAATTCACATGCGCGACAGTGGGATATGAGAGGCGACAGTACGCGACAGTAAAGAACAGGCGGCACTTTTTTCAGGAAAGCAAGGCAACAGCTGGCGACAGAAGCGACAATGGGCGACAATAAGCTTCATAGTATCAGAACTAAGAGTGTAGCATAAATGAAACCATCAGCTACGAGAAGCAGTTCAATCGTGCCTGGTAATTACTACTTAGCAATAAGCAACTAACAAAACTCACCACCAGAGAATGGCATTACCGCCGCCCGTTTGCCATAAAGTCCACCAGAGAAGGGCATTACGGCACGTTTCTCTTGCCATCCTAAAGAAGAGCCTTCTATAAATTCTTGCCTCAGAAACCTCGCAAAGTCTGACCTAGGAACATAGCTATTGAAGAAGGTTTAGGGTCATTTACCTGCAGAAAGTGGCAATTCTTGTCGTTCATCATAGAAATCGTCAAGCACCTCTGATCGCTTACCGTACATTCCTGGAAGATCGATATATCGATTTTCATAATGAGGCGAGAATGAGAGACCAACTGACCTCCTGAGAAGGGCATATTTGCTCGTTTGCCGTAAAGACCGCCTGAGAAAGGCATTCACAGCACGTTTTCCGTATATGCCTAAAGTGGAAAAAATCAATAAAATCGATAGTGCACGCTGTATCAGCCGACGCTTAGAATAGCCAGTACCTCCGGAGGCTGGCATTACTGCTCGTTTAGCACCACTACCAACTGAACGGCCTAGAATCTCTGATGCATAATCTGGGATTTCCATTACGATCACCCCGCTCGATGGAGCTAAATCTGAACCACATGAAATAAGAGTCAGGTCAAAAGGAAGCCCTTTTTCATGATCCTATAACCGTAATGAACCGGTCCTATCGGTGCTATCGCGAATTAAGAAAGAAGCGACCAAAAATCGATAATCGATTAGTTACCTTCATCTTCATTTGCGTAAGCGATCGCCACGAGAAATAATAGTGATGGGACGAGCATCGTCTCAAGCGGGTTACCTTCAAGTAATATGGTAAAATCGATGTAGTCTTGTAAGTCTACGATGAGTCAAAGCACGAAGCAATCAGTATCGATCAACGCACGGAAAGAACAAGAGGGTAAAGGGAAAAAGAGTTCTGCAGCGAAAATTCCTGCTTGGAGTGAGCCCCGCACTCGACCTCTGTTTAGAATTATGGCGTGTTGGATGTATGGGAACTCGATAAAATAATGAAATGGAGATAAAAACCAGAGGACAGTTTCTTCTCTGCGGAAAATAACAATAAGAAACAAAATGGAAAACGAACAAAAGAATGTGAGGTGGGGGGGAGGACTAACTCGCTGTGTTGATCCTTCGAAAGATCAATCCCGTTTGAAGAAAAGGAAATCCATAGGAAGAAGAAGAGGAGAGCTATTCCAATCATTTTCAGAATGAATCTTGCTCAAAATGCGAGAAGTGCTCTAGACCCTCCCGTATTTCGAACAGCAAAAAGGCGTATTTTGCAATCTCGCTACTTCCCATCGACGTGTCGAGCCGGAGATTTCTTAAATCTTACAAAGCCATGAAGTGATCCCGTCGAGGTTTGTGCTGCAACGTCGATGGGAAGTAGCGAAAGAGCAGAATGTCCCCCCCCAACCAGACCTGCAGAAATATTGAAGAAGAAGAAGTGTAACAGTGAAAGGAAAGTAGTCG